TCTAAAACTTTACTTAAGCTTTAATTGGCAACAACAGTGGGCATGAAAATTCTAGGTGTGATATGTGGCAGGTGCAATGTGCTGATAAAATATCCTTTTTAATTTCTACTATTAGGGTAGAAAATTATTAATTACCCCTGGAATACTAAACAAAAGAAAGAAATAGTTCAAATGGTTAGGCTAATAATCTATTAAAATTAAACTGCATTGAGTCGTGAATTAACTAAAATTAGTCTTTTTAGATGAACTAGGTTATCTAGAACAAAATTACTTTCATCACTTTAAAACCTACTCCATTTCTAAGTCCTCAGTAAATATGTTCTGTTCTTTCCTGATGTATTGTGCCTCGGCCAAAATTTATCTACTCTCCTCTTCAATGTCTGTTACTATTTTGACTGCTCATCAGATATTTCTTTGAACCTCAAATATATGCACCAGAAGCAGGGCTAAGAACACAGGTCCTATCTAACAATATTAGAGAAGACTAATAATTAACTAGATCATCTCTTTCATTCTTTATAAATAAGTAGCAACATATTTTGGTGACAGAATAAAATGTTGTTCAAGTAAATACATTAGAGCATGATAAAACCTTACCTGCTTTACTGTGATAGGCAGAGAGCTAGATTCTGGTATTACTCTGCTTATCTCCTAGCTTGAAGAGAGTGGGAAAGTTACAAGAAGTTAGTGCTTAAAGGGAATAGATCACCATTTGATCTAGAAGGTAAAAAACTCTATAGATTTTTACGTCAGAACACATATTCCTATCTTAATTCTCTGCTCTATTCTGAGGTATGAGAAAGAAGAAAGAAATATATTTTTTAAAAATGCTGCCAAGAAGTAATCCTCAGCAATTGATTAAAGAAACTGTAACCAGAGCTGTACAGTCATGATAACATCAATCTTCTTCCTTTAAATCAGCCAGGAACACTTGTTTCTTAGCACTAGCTGAGGATAGGTGCTTCTAGCCTTAAACAGGGAGGTTTGTATTTCAAATTCCTTATCAACAACTTTTCATCATAAAAGAGCAAAATTTATAACACTAATTGGTGGAGAATATTATCATATATTGTATTTCTGTCATCAAAAAAGATGAGCACACATATGTCTTTGAAAATAGTACTTAGGTTTTGATGCAGTTGGAAGAAAAAAATTAGGTAGATGGTTCTTAATCTTAAACTTTTCCAGGTCATATATTAATAAAAAAAGTTTCAAATTTAGTTCTATATTTAAAATATTATAATAGCATCAGAAAGAATTTAATTTATATATATTTTTCATTAAAAAGGGTAATTCACACAAAATAAGATACCATAGTTTTAAGGCATTAAAAAACACAAATAACAAAATGAAGGACTTGAAATAAAACTGGTAAAGGAAATAAACAGCGAGTTCTCAGGAAAAACATAAAAACATGAAAAGGTGTTCAATCTCACTAATAATTAAAAACACAGATTAAAACAATGAAATTTATTTTGCACCTATAAAATTAGTTAAAATTTTTACAAGTTTGATGATTTTGGGTAGCAAAGGTTTGAGGGAAATAAGAACCCTCATACATTGTTGAAGAAAGTGCAAATTACCGAAATGTTTTCTGAAGGCAATTTTACAATAACTAGAAAAGTAAAAAGTCTGTTCTCTTTGATATATAAATCCCACTGTTAAAAAGTCACCCTATATAAATACCTACAAAATAATGCCAAAATATATGTGTAAATGATTATTACAACAACAACAACAAAAATAAAACAACCTAAATCCTTATAAAGACTGGCTAAATAAATAAAGTTCATCCATATAATTAAATGTAATGCAGTCATTAATGTGATTAAAAGGACTGAATAATCTATACTGATAATGTGGAAAATGATCGAAATATATTAGGTCAAAAAAACAAGGCATGAACACAGTATAAACTCCTCATATAAACATGAAAAGGGCAAACATTTACATGCAGATGTGGGCATTAAAATGTTTATGAAAAGATATGCAAGAAGCAATTAAGTGATTGCCTTTGAGGAGAGATGCTATAAATAAGAATAGAGCAATACTCTTGCTTTTTTATTTTTCTATGGCTAGAGTTAAATGCATGAGTGCTCAGTCCTGTCTGACTCTTTGTAATCCATGGACTGTAGCCCTCTAGGCTCCTCTGTCCATGGGATTTCCCAGGATCTTTAGGGGATCTTCCTGATCCAGAAATCAAACAATGTTTAAATGCAAGATCCGAAACTCTGTCTCTGAGGCTTACTGAATCTACATCTCAACAAGATTCCTGGCAATATGTAAAATTAAAATTTGGTAGTTCAGTTCAGTTGCTCAGTCATGTCTGACTCTTTGCGACCCCACGGACTGCAGCACACCTGGCCTCCCTGTCCATCACCAACTCCCGGAACTTGCTCAAACTCATGTCCATTGAGTCAGTGATGCCATCTATCCATGTCATCCTCTGGCATCCCCTTCTCCTCCTGCCTTCACTCTTTTCCAGCATCAGGGTCCTTTCTAGTCAGTCAGTTCTTCTCATCAGGTGGCCAAAGTATCAGAGTTTCAGGTTCAGCATCAGTCTTCCCAATGAATATTCAGGACTGACTTTAGGATAGACTGGTTGGATCTCATTGCTGTCCAAGGGACTCTCAAGAGTCGTCTCCAACACACAATTAAGAAGCATCAGTTCTTTGGCACTCAGCTTTCTTTATAGACCAACTCTCACATCCATACATGACTACTGGAAAATCCATAGCCTTGACTAGATGGACTTTTGTTGGCAAAGTAATGTCTCTGCTTTGTAACATGCTGTCTAAGTTGGTCATAACTTTTCTTCCAAAGAGCAAGTGTCTTTTAATTTCATGACTGCAGTCACCATCTGCAGTGATTTTGGAGCCCCCAAAATAAAGTCTCACTGTTTCCATACTTTCCCCACCTATTTGCCATAAAGGGATGGGACTGGATGCCATGATCTTAATTTTCTGAATGTTGAGCTTTAAGCCAAATTTTTCACTCTCCTTTTCACTTTCATCAACAGGCTCTTTAGTTCTTCTTCACTTTCTGCCCTAAGGGTGGTGTCATCTGCATATCTGAGGTTATTGATATTTCTCCCGGCAATCTTGATTCCAGCTTGTGCTTCATCCAGCCAGGCATTTTGCATGATATACTCTGCATATAAGTTAAATAAGCAGGATGACAATATGCAGCCTTAACATACTCCTTTCCTTATTTGGAATCAGTCTGTTGTTCCATGTCCAGTTCTAACTGTTGCTTCCTCACCTGCATGCAGATTTCTCAGGAGCAGGTCAGGTGGGCTGGAATTCCCATCTCTTTAAGACTTTTCCAGAGTTTGTTGTGATCCACACAGTCAAAGGCTTTAGCGCAGTGAATAAAGCAGAAATAGATGTTTTTCTGGAACTCTCTCGCTTTTTCAATGATCCAACACATGTTGGCAATTTGATCTCTGGTTCCTCGGCCTTTTCTAAATCCAGCTTGCACATCTGGAGATTCTTGGTTCACGTACTGTTGAAGCCTGGCTTGGAGAAATATGAGCATTACTTTGCTAGCATGTGAGATGAGTGCAATTGTGTGGTAGCTTGAACATTATTTGGCATTGCCTTTCTTTGGGATTGGAATGAAAACTGACCTTTTCCAGTGCTATGGCCACTGCTGAGTTTTCCAAATTTGCTGGCATATTGAGTTCAGTACTTTCACAGCATCGTCTTTTAAGATTTGAAATAGCTCAACTGGAGTTTCATCACCTCCACTAGCTTTGCTCTTAATGAGTTTCCTAAGGCCCACTTGACTTCACATTCCAGGATGTTTGGCTCTAGGTAAGTGATCACACCATCATGGTTATCTGGGTCATGAAGATCTTTTTTGTATAGTTCTTCTCTGTATTCTTGCCACCTCTTAATATCATCTGCTTCTGTTAGGCCCATACCATTTCTGTCCTTTATTTTTCCCATCTTTGTATGAGATGTTTCCTTGATGTCTCTAACTTTCTTGAATAGGTCTCTAGTCTTTCCCATTTTATGGTTAACCCTAGGTATGTGCAATTCCTTTTGCACACATGGATCACAGCATTCATTATACAGTACTCACAACTTTGTACTTATCTAAATCCCGCATTAGAGGTGAGGTTGTTAAAAGCAAGATTGAAATTGTTTGTTTTTCTTGTTTGGCTGTACAGAGAAGCTTGTATGATCTTTGTTCCCCAACCAGGGACTGAACCCGGGCCCTCTGCAGTGAAAGCATGAAATCCTAATTACTGAACAGCCAGGGTATTTGATAAGATTTCTGTTGTAGTTGCTGTTCTATTGCATTTAGCACACAATAGACCATAAGTGTTTGTTAAGTAAATGAGTAAAAACGCAAGAAAAGAAGAATGAAAAAATAAATGCAAATTTATTTTGCAAATAAATTTATTGTATTTATAAATAAATAAATGCAAGTTTATTGCTCTTTTATCACAAGTCATCAAATAGAAATATAGAAATATTCATTATAAGTGACAGAAAAAGTAATCTCTTAAGAATTATTTTTTAAAAACCACTATGTTTAAATGTATACATTTCACAGAAACACATTACAAATATTTTTACCCTCAACAAATAGTACATAAATCCAGGATTCCAACTAAAATCTCTTAAAATTTTCGTCCTTTCTTTTAAAAAGTCCTACATAATATCACCAGTTGGAGCACAAGTTAATAGTTGAAAAGATACAAATAAATTACTGTTAGATAGCTATTGTTTCCCTGATGACACACAAATTATGCTACTGTTTAATAAGACTGCAGCTGCTGCTGATTCTGCGTCACTGTTTACTATAATTACAACCTTCGGATTTCATTCTGACCCATGTCCCATTATAGGATGTGCCCAGGCCAGATAAGCAATTTCAGAAATCAGCAGCACTGATGGATTTTTGCAAAATTGGGGCAATAGAAATCTCTTTTTTCTGGTAGTATGAAAATTCTTTAGTATCACTTCCCCCTTCAACCAAAAATTCCTCACCTGGCTGTTTCTCGCCACTCAGCATCCTCACCTTCACGCCAGCAAATCTCATCGAGTTCCGTGAAGAGGTCATGAGGAATGTGCTCCTCATCATCATCCTCAGTCCCAAGAATAAACTGTACTCGCTGTGACGGGGTGTCTATGGATACCAGAGACAGGAACATGCATCAACAAGACCTGGAGCTGTGAATGTCCCAGTTACCGCCTTCCACACCACTCACATTTCCCCCGCTGCAGCACTCATCCAGAATAGACTTGAGAAATGAAGATGAATTCAGTATTACATTAAGTTCAGTAAAATGTGGGATCATAAACACGTAAAATGTCAATATATAATGTACTATATCATCAAAGATAAAATCAAATGTGATGATTATTTTGGATTACTTAAGCATCATGGAAAATATTTCCACATCACTCATACACACATGCACAGTTTCTCTCAACACATTGCTACACTTTATGGTCATATTCAGAAGAGTAGACTATGATAAAATTCACTTACATTAAAACTGTGCTGAATATAATTCACCAAAAAGAACTTCTTTGTGAGGCTTCTTGGCAGTTATATCCATATCCTTCCCCTCACCCCTGGCAACCATTAATCTGGTTCCTACTGCTATAGTTTTGCCTTTTCCAGAATGCCATACAAGTGGAAACATATGGTGTATAGCTTTTAGAGATTGTTATTCACTTACCGATATGCCTTTAAGGTTTTGAGATTTATCTGTGTCACTGAATATATCAGTAATTCATTCTTTTTATTGCTAAGTAATAGTCCATTGTATGAATGTATCTTGTTTTGCTTATCTAGTCACTTGTTGAAGGATATTAAATTTACAGATTTTTCAATTATGAATAGAACTGCTATAAATATTCTAAATTTTTGTGTGAGTGTAAATTTTTATTCTCTAGGGTAAATACTTAGGAGTAGAGTTGCTGGGTTACCTGGTAAATATATGTTCAATCAATACATTTGTGATGAAAATTATAAAGCTTTATTGAATGATATAAAATAGACCTAAATAAATTAATATATTTATATTAATGGAAAAGCCTAATAGTGGAAAGCCATCTTATAAATTCAATGCTATTACAATAAAATATCTGGTATTTTCAGCTATTTTTTAAAACATAAGAGAATGAATAAATCAGTAAAAAACCATAGTGATCACTTAAATCTATAACATTAAATATTTTGTGAAAATAAACCAATTAATAAGTAACTTAAAGGATTAGGTTATAATTAAGTCACAACTAGGAGGATTTTGGAAGTCAAAAGTGAAAAAGATACATGTAATATAAAATATGATATAGTCTCATACTTTTTGTATCAATAAATGTTTGCAGTGGGGCCCTAGCTTCTGCCTACGTCAATAGCCTTACCTTCTGCCTCGTAATTCCACTCTGGGTACCTTGGTTTTCTTTCAGATTTTTAAAAATAGCATGTTCCTTCCCATTTCAGGGCCACTGCACATACTGTCTCCTCTAGATCTCCTGTATCTTTCATCACCTACTTCACTATAATATACTTTGGCAAGCCTACCTAATCAGATTCATAAAACACACACACACATACACACACACACGATCACACCCATATGCAACAATTAAGTCAGGCACTGTTATCTTAATTCACAGCACTCTATATTTCTCCTTGTTATACTTTTCTTAATTGCAATTTAAAATTTACTGTTCAATAACAAATTAAATACTTTAAGTAGAAAATATTTCCAGCTGCCAGGATTAGTTTCCTAGAAGAAGATAGGATCAAGTCCCTAAAGAAGAATAATGCCTGTAAAAGATACTTTTAAAATTATAAAGCATCATACAAGTATTATTAATGATGACTGATGATGATGCTTTTGGTAGTGAGGATGGATGCAATGAAAATATAGCCCTGTCAAAATAAAGAGGTTTAGAATTTGAAGCAGAGAGAATGAGAAAATACTAGTGCCATTAATTGAAAAAGGGTTATAACATGGATGAGCCTTGAAGATGCTAAGTGAAATGTCAGACAGAGAAACACAAATACTATTAATATATGATCTTACTTATATGTGGAATATAAAAAAAGACAAAACAATAAAACTAAAGCTTTAGCTGCTCAGTCTTTGTGACCCCGTGGACTATAGCCCACCAGGCTCCTCTGTCCATTGAATTCTCCAGGCAAGAATACTGGTATGGATAGCTATTCCCTTCTCCAAGGGATCTTCCTGACCCAGGGGTTGAACTCATATCTCCTGTGTTACAGGCAGATTCTTTATCATCTGAGCTAAACTCATGGGAAAAGAGATCAGACGTGTTTACCAGCAGTACAGAGTGGAAAGAGGAGAAAGTGGAGAAAAATGGTCAAAAGGTATAAACTTCCAGTTGTAAGTACTAGGGAGGTAATAGACAACATTATGATATGTAAGTAAGTTGTTGAGTAAATTCTATGAGTTCTCATCTCAAGGAGACATATTTTTCTTTTCATTGTATCCTGGTTGGATCTCCTTGCAGTCCAAGGGACTGCATCCTAAAGTCCATCCTAAAGGAGATCAGTCCTGGGTGTTCACTGGAAGGACTGATGCTGAAGCTGAAACTCCAATACTTTGACCACCTCATGCGAAGAGTTGACTCATTGGAAAACACCCTGATGCTGGGAGGGATTGGGGGCAGGAGGAGAAGGGGAAGACCGAGGATGAGATGGCTGGATGGCGTCACTGACTCGATGGGCATGAGTTTGAGTAAACTCTGGGAGTTGGTGATGGACAGGGAGGCCTGGCATGCTGTGATTCATGGGGTCGCAAAGAGTCGGATACGACTGAGCGACTGAACTGAACTGGTAAGAGATCAATAACCCTATATGCAAAACAGAAAAAGAGACACAGATGTACAGAACAGACTTTTGGACCCTGTGGGAGAAGGCGAGGGTGGGATGATCTGAGGAACAGCATCAAAACATGTATATTATCTAGGGTGGAACAGATCAGCAGCCCAGGTGGGATGCATGAGACAAGTGCTTGGGCCTGGTGCACTGGGAAGACCCAGAGGAATCGGGTGGAGAGGGAAGTGGGAGGGGGAATCGGGATGGGGAGTACTTGTAAATCCATGGCTGATTCATGTCAGTGTATGACAAAAACCACTACAATATTGTAAAGTAATTAGCCTCCAACCAATAAAAATAAATGAAAAAAATAAATAAAAAAAAAACAAAACAACAACAACAAAAAGAGATAATGTGATGAATGTTAACTAAACATATCATGGTAGTCGTTTCACAACATATGTATAGCAAACCATCATGTACTTATACCGTGAGGTATGTCAGTTATTTTTCAACAAAACTCGGGAAAAAAAGGGTTGTCAGAATGAGGAGCCAGTATTGTAGGCTGATAGCACCAGAGACATCTTTTAGATATGCTGAGTTTGAGGTGATTATAGTTCAAACACATAAAGATGGTCACTGGACTGCTGTATATTTGATTCTAGAAAAGAGGACAAGGTCAGAGGTAAAGACATAGGTTAGGTTGCATTTAACTAGAGAAGTAATATGATTACAACAAATAAGGACTCAACAATGAAAGACAAGAGAAGGCTCAGTATCAGGGGAATAATATGATTTAATATTTAGGATGAGGAAGAGGAGTTAAAAAATCAGAAAAGGATTAGATGGCTATGTAAAAGGAGTGGTACACTGAACAAATATATAATGAACACCTTCCATTGGTCAGGTGAATTAGACAGACATAAACAGAAAGGAAAAAACCCTCTGCCTTTATAAAACTTACATTTGATGAAGAAAGTAATATAACAGGGTCAAGGTAGAAAAGTACAAATCAATAATGTCAGATGCTGTAGAATCAATGATAAGAACTAAGAGCAATAGGATTTTAATAGCTTAATATTCAATAGCACTGGAATTCCAAAGACCGTATATTACTTTTACAATCACAAATAAACTATTTCTATTGGAATATAGACCATACTTTCAACAAATGGTTACTCAAAATCAAATTTACAAAGTAATACTATAGGAAGAAAACCACTAATAGAATCATAATTGGAAATAAGCAAGTTCCTTTGCAAACTTTAACCTTTTCATTACTAGTTATGTTACTCGAACTGCTTTAGTTACTCACATGCTAATTATAAAGTGGTTGGCTATGGTGAGATTATAAGACAAGGGAAAAAGTCAAAGCAGATTTTTAAAAGTATCAATATCTTCTATGGATCAAGCATTTTCATATAATAGCTCTTTATGTCTGAGCAATAACCTACTCAAAAGGACACATATCACTTAGTCTGAAAATGCAATGAACATAATGAAAGAGCTAGAACATCCATGTCACGGATAAGAAGACTCAATATTAACAGGATGACAGTTCTTCCCAACTTGATCTGTAGATTTAATGCAATCCCAATCAAAATCTCGTCAAGTTATTTTATGGACACCAACAAACTGATTCTAATTTTTATATGGAAAGGTAAAGGCAGAAGACCCAGAATAGCCAACAAAATATTGAAGGAGTAGAACAAAGTTAGAAGACTGACATTCCACAACTTCAAGACTTACTATAGAGCCAGAACAATCAGGACAGTGTGATAATGGCAGAAGAACAGACAAATAGATCAATGGAACAAAATAAAGAGCCCAACAATAGAATTCCGTAAATATAGTCATCTGATTTTTGACAAAGGAGCCAGAGTAGTAAAATTTCTTCAACAAATGGTCACCCACATGCAAAAACACTGATCTAGACACAGAACTTACAACACTTTTCCAAAATAAACTCAAAATGATCATGTGTGTGTGTGTGCTCAATCATGTCTGACTCTTTTGCAACCCCAGGGACTGTAGCCCACCAGGCTCCTCTGTGCATGGGATTTTCCACGTGAGAGTGAGTGGGTTGCCATTTCTTCCTCCAGGAGATCTTCCCCACCCAAAGATCAAACCCACATCTCTTGAGCCTCCTGCATTGGCAGGTGGATTCTTTACCACTGCACCACCTGGAAGTCCCAAAAATGGATCATAGATCTACATGTAAAACACAAACACATAAAACCTTCAGAAGATAACATAGGAGAAAACCCAGATGACCTTGATACAGCACCAAAGATAACTATCCATGAATGAAAGATGATGTCAAAAAAATT